AACTATTTCTTATATCAGATAAATCTGTTATCGCGACGAAAGAGTGATTTGGAGAAACGTATCTCTTCTCTCTCTCTCTCTCTCTCTCTACCTCTTCTCTGAGCCCTTCCAGTTGGTCGATGTGATCATTAAGATTAGTTCGTCTGACATTAAACTGGTCTCGAAGTGTCTGTAATTGACTTTCCAGTAATGATTCGGTTTCTGTTGACTGAATAATTGAATGGAAAATGTTTTATGCATTCATTTATTTATTTGTGTATCGAAAAAAGAAATTGAAATTTTTTTTAATCATTAATTGAAAAATTGTTTTCATTTTTTAATTAAAATCCAAGTGTTTCCTCGATTTTAATCATTCATTATTTTTTATTAATTTTTATGCAATAATTAATTTACTAATTAAACCCAAATGCAAACTTTTCACGTTTAAAATATAAAAATTTATTTTGCGCTTAAGTATCAAAAAATGATTAAACTTTTCAAAAATTTAAAACAATTAACGTTTGATTACAACAATAAAATCAAACGATGTTTTAAGCCAAACCTGTTTGAGTTCATTCGTTAAGCGATGGTTTTGTTCAATCAATTCCTGAATGATTTTACTCTTTTCGCTCTCCGTTTGTCTCAAATACATCTGTTGTGTCTCGAGTTCTTGTCGAGCATTCTTGAGATCAGTTTGCAGTTCAGTTAGTCTTCCGTCGTATTCTCCCTCAAGACTCTCCAGTTTGCGGCGAAAGCCATACTTTTCCTGTTCAAGAATCTGACCGAAAAAATGCAAAACACATTAATATATTTATAGATTTTTGATTTTTATCTATGATTTTATTATCAAATCCATTGATCGGATCAATAGATTTTTAATTAAGTAATTTTTATTTTATTTTAAAACATATTTTGATAAAATTATCAATTTTTTCTTTTATAGTATATATTTTCAATTGATAAGGAATTTATTTATATCAGCGATAATTTGCGAAATAAATTGCTTAATGTATTATCTGTTTTAGTATATAATCTGTCTATAATTTATAC